TGGAGTTCAGACGTGTGCATGTTCGTTTGTTGTGTTTTTTAAAGTTATTTGATTGTGGCAGCCACCTTAAAATGGGTCGACTCAAAATGGAAATCAGTGGTTGATATACATCCATTCTTTGATCTGAGTAAATTGCATTTTAATCAGTCTAATAGTTTATGAGATATTTTGGGAACAGACAAACAAAAACACATGCACACAGACGGGCAAAAACATTATTGTCCACTTCTCTTTTCAGCAGTGACAATGGTAATAACTAAAGATTCTTTACAGCTTCCTTAATGAGTTACAACCACATTTCAATTTAAAAGAATCAACAAATAATCTCAAATCATTTTTTTTCCAAAAAGTACATACAGATTTACCAGTTTTTTCCAAGTTGTTTACCAAATCAGTAAATATTCCCGTTAGAAATTTTAAAACAGACAAACACAAATTAACTTTTGTTATAGTTGTTTGTTTCTTTATATTCCATGAGGATCTTACCTTTAAAGAATCCGAGTCCTTTTTATTTGTTGCTGGTAAAACATGAGAGGGCACAATCTGCATGACTTTATTTTCCAGTGGAGCCTGCTGCTCGATGTTATTGTGTCTTTCGACCTGGATAAAGACAGAATGGGCTGACCACACATATTCTCTACCAACTCTGACCGAAACCCTCATTGCACTGTATGTTAATAAAGGCTTTCAATGTACAGTGGGACAAAGATTGAAATGTACTATGGGGGCACCTTTGCTGAGCTGACAAGCAGGGAGTTCAAAGAATGTACTGGAAAGAGTGCACAACATTGACTCACGCACAGATCTGGATCCACTTTCATTTGAGAGCTCCAATACTAAAACTGTACGGATTTATTTTTATATGTGTTCTAAGAGGACTCTCACTCATGTCACTTTGGCTTAAATGAGTTGGTCAGATTGTTTCACTTATTTAAATTGTTTGTTGTGTTAACCTGATTTAAAAAAATACAGCTGTGTCCTGTTGCTTCTATTGATACTAATAAAATTAAATGTCTGGCATTTCTTGAAGAAATGCACATCAACCAAATAATCATCTCTGGATGAACATCAAAAGATTGCTTTTTGAGTTTTATTAAAATCCATCCAGTGGTTCACCAGATATTTTGCTAACACAACAAACAAATCAAGACACACACACACACACACATATACATACGTGAGAAAAGCAAACACATGGAGAGCTAAATCATGTTGTTCTTTACTTACAGTATTTGAGCCTCAAGACATCATTAGTCCTTCACAAGGTCATTTGGCATCACATACTGTGCTCATTCTTCCTTTATGACTGCTGCATAGTTTTCAGGATCATTCATCCATCCATCCATCCATTATCTTTACCCGCTTCTTCCATTTTGGGTCACGGGGTCGCCGGTGCCCATGTCCAGCAATCACTGTGCGAGGGGCGGGGTACACCCTGGACGGGTCGCAAGTCCATCACAGGGCCACATAGAGACAAACGAGACAAACAAACCATTCACTCTTTCACTCACACCTAGGGACAATTTAGAGTTACCAACCAGCCTAACATGCATGTTTTTGGTCTGTGGGAGGAAACCGGAGCACCCGGAGAAAACCCACGCATGCACGGAGAGAACATGCAAACTCCACCCGGAAAGGCCCCTGGACCGGGGTTTGAACCAAGGACCTGCTCGCTGAGAGGCAGCAGCTCTACCAGTTGCGCCACCATGCTGCCCGTTTTCAGGATCATTTTCAACTAAAATAAAGCTTCAACACTAATATTCTCACATTACTTCTACTATATGAAATAGTGCTGTCCCAATACTGATACACTGATACCACCTTGAAGTACTCGTACTTGCACTCTTAAAAACACGCATACATATTTTTTTTCTTTTTTTGACTGCTCCCTTCTTCAGGAGTCACCACAGCGAACTAAGTTGCACAAAGATTTGGCAATTATTTTTATGGTGGATGCCCTTCCTGATGCAACCACAGACTACCACACTACCACAGTGGAGCAGAAAGCTTCCATGGGCACCTGGGGGAGCAGATGGTGGGGGTTAAGGGCTCAGAGTGGGGCAAATGATGGTACAGGCAGGCGTGGGTGCCAGTATCTGAACCGGCCATCTTTGTTGATTTATTTCAGTAATTCCATTAAAAAAGTGAAACTTGTATATTATATTAATTCATTACACAGAGACTGATATATTTCAAATGTTTATTTCTTTTAATGTTGATGATTATAACTGACAACTAATGAAAACCCCAAATTCAGTATCTCAGAAAATTTGAATGTTGTGAAAAGGTTCAATATTGAAGACACCTGGTGCCACACTCTAATCAGCTCATTAACTCAAAACACTTGCAAAGGCCTTTAAATGGTCTCTCTGTCTAGTTCTGTAGGCTACACAATCATGGGGAAGACTGCTGACTTGACAGTTGTCCAAAAGACGACTGTTGACACCTTGTACAAGGAGGTCAAGACACAAAAGGTCATTGCTAAAGAGGCTGGCTGTTCACAGAGCTCCATGTCCAAGCACATTAATAGAAAGGTGAAGGGAAGGAAAAAATGTGGTAGAAAAAAAGTGTACAAGCAATAGAGATAAACGCACCCTGGAAAGGTAGTGAAACAAAACCCATTCCAAAATGTAGGAGAAATTAACAAAGAGTGGACTGCAGCTGGAGTCAGTGCTTCATAAACCACCACGCACAGACATATGCAAGACAAGGGTTTCAGCTGTTTTATTCCTTGTGTCAAGCCACTCTTGAACAAGAGACAGCGTCTGAAGCGTCTCACCTGGGCTAAAGACAAAAAGCACTGGACTGCTGCTGAGTGGTCCAAAATTATTTTCTCTGATGAAAGTAAATATTGCATTTCCTTTGGAAATCAAGGTCCCAGAGTCTGGAGGAAAAGAGGAGAGGCACAAAATACATGTTGCTTGAGGTCCAGTGTCAAGTTTCCACAGTCAGTGATGGTTTGGGGTGCCATGTTATCTGCTGGTGTTGGTCCATGTGTTTTCTGAGGTCCAAGGTCAACACAGAAATTTACCAGGAAGTTTTAGAGCAATTCATGCTTCCTGCTGCTGACCAACTTTATGGAGATGCATATTTCATTTTCCAATGGGACTTGGCACCTGGCAGCATGGTGGCGCAACTGGTAGAGCTGCTGCCTCTCAGCAAGCAGGTCCCCAATTCAAATCCCGGTTCGGTGGCCTTTCCGGATGGAGTTTGCATGTTCTCTCCGTGCATGCGTTGGTTTTATTCCGGGTACTCTGGTTTCCTCACACAGACCAAAAACATGCATGTTAGGCTGATTGGTAACTCTAAATTGTCCCTAGGTGTGAGTGAGAGAGTGAATGGTTGTTTGTCTCGTTTGTCTCTATGTGGCCCTGTGATGGACTTGCGACCTGTCCATGGTGTACCCCACCCCTTGCAGTGATTGCTGGACATGGGCATTGGCGACCCCCGTGACCCAAAATGGAAGAAGCGGGTAAAAGATGATGGATGGATGGATGGATGGATGGACGGACGGACGGACGGACGGACGGACGGACGGACGGACGGACGGA